CTTACCTGGGAAAAGGAGATTGCTTGGTTCTTGGTTTGAGGAAAGATACCCTGCTGGGTCAAAGGGCAGGTAGATGAGGGCTTTAGTTGGGGCTCAGCCCATTCTCTGCCAAATGCTCCTGTGGATACAAAACATGTGGGTAAAGTCTCTGTGACATTTTCATAATAGGACTTTTCTAAAGCATAACATTACCTCTCAGGGCCCAATCCAAGCAACCTACGCACAAATCCTCCTACTGCACTGGCCCTTTCTGTGCACAATTAATATTTACATGCTGAAAAGGGTATGCAGCCTCTGCTTTAAAAATTATCAGGCCCACAACACTGCCTTTGCATTCTCCTTTCCTTTCTTTTGCAGGGCCTTTATTTATTTCTGAGTTTCAGTGCCTCCTCTCTGTCTTCTGACTGAGTTTTCTATACATCGTAATATATTTTCTAGTCTCCTTTTTCATTAAAACAACTCTTTCACCTTTCCTTTCTTCTTAAGACATTGTTTGCACACTTTTTTACCTTTTCTTCTATCTGCTTATTTGCTGACTCTTGCAGTTCCATGCAGATGAAAAGCATAAATATGCTTGTGATTTTTATTTCTCACTGTTCAGTGATTCAGTGATAAGAGACAAAGCTGAGGCTTTTGCACAGAGTTACAAACATTATAAGTTTACTCCTTACTATCCTAGAGGCAGCTTAGTGTTGCTAGCCACACTTTGCAGATAGGGAAAAGGAGGCAAGAAGCAAAATGACTTGCCCAAGGCCAAAGAGACAGAGAGTGTGAGAGTCACTGTAAGAACTGAGGCGTTCCTGGCTCTGAATCATTTGATCATTAGACTTAGCCTTTTTCTAATAGAAGCTAATTCAGCAGCAGATCTGCAGTCGTATATTACTGTTCTTTGTACAGTAAAGTCTAGACTTACACATGAATACGTTACCATGTGAGTTTCACCAAAATTCAAAGCCCAAGGCATGCTGTGATAAGTACGACAATGGCGTTCTCACAGAAGGTTTTTCTGCAAAAATCTGTACAGCTCCATCATCTGGGCATGGCCTCTGTCAGGTAATTCAGCTCAAGCCATCTTCCTTTACCTTTAATCTGTGGGTGAAATGTCCACAGCAGAGTTACGATGGCCTGTCATTGTGACAGTGATCCTTTCCCTGTAGTCTGGGACCAAAGAATCCAGAGCATGGTCTCTTGTAGTGCAGTGGCCAGTAATTGAAGGCAATGACTTATCTCATGGCATTTGCTTATACAAGTTCACAATGTTAATTTTGTTTAAAATAGAAGTACAAGTTATGTCCCAGAAAGCACAGCAGTTACTGACAACTGATCTGTAAGGAGAGTAGAAGGGCATGAAATATTTGTCCTGAATTCATGTTGTGTGTGTATGAACTAAAAAAAAAAAAGCCAATTTTCACCAAATGCATGAATTTCTCCAGTGAGAACAGGGCAGTTCTCATAAAGAATATCAGGGGCTGTGGAGTTTGTGTGCAAAATTGACTGTTTTCAAGTGAAAACTTGTTGAAACTCATGATTTCAACCTGACTTCAGTGCCAAAGTCACTTTACTGTAATTTTGCATTTTAAGTGGTGGGACAGCAGTGGGGCAGCTCCAGGGAACTGGCCACATTCTAGCCAAGTGGGATGTCCCACATATTTTGAATCATGCAGTTTTCTAAATTAAATCAAATGTTTGGATATTCTCTAGAGTGACTCAAGGCCAAATTTTGAGTGCCCTATTCAGAGCCAGGTTGTACAGAGTGCCCTGCCTATGTGCAGTGTCACATCATACCCAAGGTGCTTAACTGGAAATCCTCTATCCTCACTAGAGTAGCAGGCTCTCCTCTGCATGTCTGTACTGCTCTGGGTTAGCTCAGGTGGGACAGCATGGCTCCACAACCTCTTCATCTGCTTTGGCATTGCATTGTGACCTTGGGAAGTAGGAGGGCCCTGGGTGGAATATCATACTACAATTATATTTGGCTCTTTATATGGAATGAGTAGTTCTGTGTGCTTCTCCATAACAGTGAGCCACTATCTGGCTTCCCAACATCCCAATAGACCCCATCATTAAAAAATCTCAAGGTAAAGGGAACATGTGGCTATAATCACCCACTACAGCAGTGATGTCTACAACAGAAAATGCCTTAGCCTGTAAATTTGCAGCTGATCACACATGGTGTTGAACGGCTTCTTATTCAGTAGATGGGGAACTGGCACTTCCCAGGCTTGATCTCTGTGTGTAGTGAAGTACTAATGTCATATTTAAATGTCATATTATGTGGAAGCTCCTCAGCTTCCTTTGACTCCTGTCACTTAGCGTCTTGCAAGACTAGAATCTCAGGGCTTGTAGGGGGCTTTTTTTGTTTTAGCTGGAGAGCAGTCCCCTATCCCTATAAACACAACTTAAACTGCATTCAAGAAAAGGACTATGAACATTCCTTCTTTTGCTCCTGTCTAGGAGTGAACTCCTGGCCCCAGTGAAGTCAGTGATAAAGCTCCTCTTGACTACAGTGAGGCCAGGACTTCTCCCTAGGAGTTTAAGTTGTATTTCATGGAATACAATAAGAGAACATTGAGCTGTGGACTCCTAGGAACCGATGTGGTGCCTGGCTTTCTCTGAAAACTTCCACTCTTTGTCTCAAAAAGATTTTCAGGATGAGAAAGAGGCTGAACACTGATGACACCATTCACCCTTTTCTTTTAGGGTGACATCAATTTACCCAGTAAAAATGTGCATTTTGTTCTCCAGAGATATATAGAAGAAATTTGATTATTTAAGTGGCTACCAATATAAATGACAGGCAAGTAAACTTGATTTGCTGTGCACTTCCTTCTCCCAGCAGGCAAAAATAACATTACCTTTGCCAAAATAGCAGCTGATCAGGTGTACTGAAGTTAATTATAATTAAAATGTAATCATCACTGACAGGACATAACAATCATTTGCATTGTTCCATGCAGATAAATGATGCATTTCATTTTGTGCAGCAAGTTTTAGATATAATCACCTGACTTTGGATGGGGGTGGGGGGCTCCAATAGTTAAGACTGGATACAGACTGGGGAATTTCAGGGGCAAAATGTTCATTTACTACAAAGAATGTTTTGGTAATGAAGCCAAAGCCTTGCTGTCACCCTGGCAGTTTCACGGCTTTTCTCTGATTTGGTTATGTGTACATTTGAATCAAATTTCAGTTTCAGCTAAGTTTTTTAGGGCTTGATCCAGCTTCTTTAGCAAAACTACCACTAACTGGATCAGAACCTTAATTTTAACTCATGAATACACTGTAATGTTTTAGTCAAGTACAGTACTTCGAGACCAGGCTCTGCAAACCTTTACCAGGACTTCAGTGAGAATCTCAGATGAATAAAGCCTCCACATATCACTAAAGCTTTTCAGAGGAAACCCTGAGTTCCTCATTCATACACAATGATCCAGAGGTTTTAAGTGCCTTTTTTCCCTCTTTTTTTTTAGATTTTCATAAATAATGAGTGGCAAAATTCTGAAAGTGGGAGAATATTCCCTGTGTATAACCCAGCCACAGGAGAGCAGATCTGTGAGATCCAGGAAGCTGACAAGGTAAAATGTCCTTATAAGATGTTAAAAAAATGTTCAACAGGCCAAAACCAACAGCTACTATGGCTCTGCTCCAGAATACCATTGCTAATCTTTCATTAACCCTACCCTGCCACGGTGCGATTATGATATATTGTATGTTTGTTAGGAAATTTCAGATGCCAACTAATTCTTTCTTGGTGTTCATCTCAGTGCTCTGTTTTTCATTCCTCCTTGACAGGTTGATACAGACAAAGCGGTGAGGGCAGCACGCCTTGCTTTCTCTCTAGGCTCAGTGTGGAGGAGAATGGATGCATCTGAAAGAGGCCATCTCTTGGATAAGCTGGCAGATTTGGTTGAAAGAGACAGGGCAATTCTTGCTGTAAGTGAAGCAAGGGAAAAATCAAGAGTTATCCGTTGAGAGCAGAGTTCTCAGATGTGGAAACTGAAATCAGATTGGCTAATATTTCCAAATATGCTAGACAGGGCCTGATCCAAAGCCCATCTGTGTCAATGTCAAGTCTTTGCATGAACTCAGATGGGCTTCAGATTGAGTATGTGTATGTATACATATGTGCACTTATGTGTATTAATATTTTTGCTCAATATTCTAAAATAAAATGGAAAAGTGCCTAACACAAATTGTGCTGTAATTAATGAATTGGCAGAGGAAATGCTATGCAGTGCAGAACCAGTCATCTAAATTTTAAAAACTGTGCTTTTTTACCACATAAGTAAAGCATATACACTGCAGTATTGTTAATGATGTTTTCTGCATGTCAGCTGCTTTGAACTAAGCCGGTGAACATCTTAATTCCAGCTTTGTCAATACTTAAATCATCTAACCGCCAGTGAATGCTATAAAATCACCGCAGGGAGAAGGAAGTGCACAGCAAATCAAGTTTACTTGCCTGTCATTTGATTTGTATTTCTAGAGCCAAATGCTTTGCTGAATTGCACTGCATGCAACGCCACTAACTTAATTTTGGATGTAAGTCAGTGTAGTATTAGGCCCTTATTGTTCTGTGAATTAAATTTTGGTCTGTATATATTTATGTAGTACTCCTTCTATGTTGTATGCCATTAACCCATTTGTAACAATTTCTATTAGATAACCATTAAAAATTGGCTAAGCTACTCAATGTCTAACAAAATTTATTGGATTCTTTTCATTAAGCGATCTGAGACTCTTAAGAGGATATCTTATAAGATACTGTTATTAGTAGGAATATTGACTTGAAAATAAGGTCTTTAGCTTGTTAAATTATGAGCTTCCCTAGAGGAGAGTTTGTTTATTTGATGGTAATAAATAAACTGGCTGTACACTATAGATATCTCAGCCCTCAGCAGGGGTCTTGGCAACTATATAGAGAAAATTTTATATTCACATCAATTATATACAGAGGGATATGTCCATTCTTCTCTTTATGGATTCAGATTGTTAATATAGGGTTACAAGAAGTCCTTGCTCAGCTGTTATCATTAACATAACAGAACCTAGTTTGCCAGGCAGTTTTATCTTGGCCTCTGATTAAAGCAATTTTGTATTTATATATCTGGACCAAACACAGTGACTACTATGTCCAAACACACACGCACGCACGCACGCACTTCACTGTTGTAGCGATTTTAGGGACTTTTCAAGAAAAATTCTGCCTGTTTCAGATCAATAGAAATATCAACATCTCTTCCCCCCCCCGGATAATGCTAAACATTTTTCCCCCTAAGTGTTACAACTCCCATACAAAGTAGTATCAAAAAGGGGGTTTTAATAGCTGAAGCTTCTGGTATGTGACTGTACCAGGGAAGACCATTAGTGTCAGTATTTGAGCACTTGAATAGTGAATACAAAAATGTATGTAACTTAAATGTGCTCCTTTGCTCATACGCTCTTCACTTTCTTGTCCTCCAGACCATGGAATCGTTGAACAGTGGCAAACCCTTTCTTCAGGCTTTCTACGTAGATCTTCAAGGAGTCATAAAAACCTTGCGGTATTATGCAGGTTGGGCAGATAAGATTCATGGAATGACCATTCCTGTAGGTAAGTGGAGTTCAAAGAGCCACAATCCGATTCTCCTTTTGTATTATATATACAATACATACCTACAAACATGTAGGGAGCCTACAGGACCTCTTTCTGAAAGAATCCCCTCCCAGGGCAGGTAGAAGAAGCCATACTACTTGGACTACTTGGAAAAGTGATTCATAATATGTTGCTGGGTACAGGATTAACCTAGCAGAAAATTGTCTAGGTTATTTAATATTTTTCTTTAATGGAGCTAAGTAGAAAGCTCATATGCATATCCATTTGACTGCTATGTATGTGCATACAGTACAGTAGAGATAGATACTGCAGTTTAAGGCTGATATTTTACATCCTTTATGAAGTGCTTTGGAACATTTTAAAATAAGAGTGCTGCCAAAAGGCAGGCACGATTTGGGCAAATTCTGTGCATGATCCTTTATACAGCTCTGCCACTAGAACTAATTTTGAGCTCTACCTCCCTGCTTTTTCCACCTTATAGTCTTAGTTGTGCTATATTACGCTACTACACAAGATGCTTTACTGTGCAGCAGATTAATTTGCTGCACAGTAAAACGTCTCTATCTGCACATGCATGGCAATTAGAGTGCAGTGACTAATTTACTACACTTCCAGGTAGTTCCGTCAGATACAAGTGGTATCTCGCAGATGTTTAGATTAGTTTACTCCAGCTCAAATTGAGCCAGAGTATATTCAGTCATATTAATTGCACACATAGGTACACCCTACATGGTTTAAAGTATGAACTGTTAGTGGCCCACCTGGACTTGGATGGGACTATCAAATTAGTTGTGACTTAAGATCCACATGTGCTTTGAAAGAGTTTGTAATTTTGTTATAGAGAAACACCCATAAATATAAAGTACTTTGTGCTTCAACACTTTCTTCCTTCTGGTGTGCAGTGGAATTAAGGTTTAGTTACATGTACAAGAAAAAAGACTGCTGGATATATTTTGGTAAAGATAAGAAAAAATAGCAGTGTTTTCTTAGCTTTTCTTTTTAGCTGTCAGCCCTGTCCTCCCTTTCCCTCCCCTTCCAGATCTTTCACCAAGACTTATGGTCATTTTCCATTGAAAACACACTACTTTGCAATCTTGACTGAATGTACCAACTCTTGTAGTTATGCAAAATGGTGCGTGGTAGCAGAAAATTACTTTCTGCACCCGCAGTGGTTCAAATAATGGTACTTATCTTTTACCTACATAATCAAAAATCCTAATTCCTCTCATAAATTTCTGGAAGGGGTTGATCCTTTTCCAAAGCAACACTAACATGTTTATTTAAAAATGATGAAAGGCCCTGACATTTATGCTGTGGACTCTTCTCAGTTTGACACATGGAGTCTGTGTCCAGTGAGCACTATATATTTCACATAATTGAGAGACCGGGGAACCATACAAAAAGAGAAAAATGCAGAGGGGGCAGGGGCAGTATTTAAAATTTTTTATTTTTAAGGAAAAATTTTTATGTCCAAAGTCAAATCATCCAAATCAATTCCAAATCCATGAGTCATTCAAAAATGATATGCGGCCCTATTAAGCATCCTCCACCCCTGCCTAGGGCTTCAGATGTTTCCAAATCCCATGGCGGGCATCCTACATGCAGGCCCAACCCCAGAGGCCTGGGGTTCGAATGCCCCCAAGTTTCACTTGCCCTCAGCCGTATGACTGCAGGAGCAAGCTAGGGAGGAGTCCCCCATTTCCATAAAGTTGGTTTGTAGCCGAGATCCTCCCACTGGAAGCTGGCCAGCGGGAAGCTAACTATGAGGCTGTCATAAGTACTCCTGTCTGCAGGCAGACAAGGGTGCAACCCTCCACTACACAGTGCCATTTTAATTACATTACCTTGGTCAGGGTATTTCCCTTCTGCCATCATGGTCATAGTATTTCCTGTGTCAGGGTTGCCCAGCTTCTAAGCCTCCAGGGGAGGCCAAATGCCCTGGGGGCCACACCAGCAGGGGCCACACAACACGGGTCATGCCAGGCAAGCCATGGGACACTGGGCCTTGTGGACACTCCTCCCTTAGTGCTCTGTGTGCCCAGGTGAGCACCTTCCCCCCACACCACTGCACCAAAACCTCTCCCCTCACACTGCTGCACCACATGGGCAAGTGGGAGTGATTTTCACCTATACACCAGCCTGCTTCTCCCCACACTGCACCAGCCATGCCCTGCATGCAGCTCTCATCTCCCCACCATGTGTGGCTCAGCTCAAACTCATCCTGAGTTCCCTGCTAGGTGTCACACTGCCCCAGCCCCTGGCACGAGGGCAGGAAGCAGCAGCCAGGAGGGTGGGAGAACCCCGAGCCCCTGACGGCTGTTGCATAAGAGCTATTGTGTGCTGAGCTCTTTTAAAAAATTGGCCACTACAATTTAGAAGGAAGAACAGATCATGCCATTCTAACTGAATTCTAATTTATTCTTCAGACTGGTATTTAGTTTAACGTAGTTAATGCTAACAAATGAAACCATTAAACCAGATGTAAGGGAACTGGTACATTTTTATAAAAAAATTACACTGCAAATACCTCTGGTTTGTGCTTTGCTTTAAAGGCTGAAGATGATTTTCACTGCCAATTAGGCTGAGATTCATAAATCCTTTGTGTGCTGCTTGGACTTTAAATTTACACAAGCAAAAGCTCAGAAACTACCATAAATTCATATATTCAGCAAATTTCTTGTTCCATAATCCCTCCTTCCCTTGTCAGCAAATGCTTCTTTCTCACTTATGAGCCTAGCAGGACTACAGAAGACAAGTCAAGTCAATAAGAGACATTGCCAGTTCAGGATTGCTTATTCCAGTACTTAGCATGCAAACAAGTAAAGCAGGATAGCAACTGAAAATTGGAATTTGGTAGGGAGGTGGTTTAAGTTGTTGGGGCCCAGTTTTCAGCAACCTTCCTAAGTACAAACCATGATTGCTGGCAAAGGTTCTGGTATCAAGACTCTTGTGCAAACATGGGCTGTAGCACGTGGCTGGGTGCCCCGGTTTTGAAAGTGCAGTTTGGTTCTTTTAAAGGAGTAAGAAATTCCACCCCTTTGCCTGATTCACCTCTATATTACTCCAGTTTTATGCTGTAAACTCAGTTTTAGAACTGCATCCAGGTAAAGCTTCTGACTGTTTACAGACAGTTGCTTGTCAATGGAAGCTGGATATAGGAACAAAAGTGAAAACAAGCCCCTTATTAAATCTCTCTTGGTTAAAGACATTACCATCCTTTGTCTATTCTGACAAGAGGTTTTTACTCTAAAGTGGGCACAGGCCAATGAGAGGCACAGGGTAGAGAGAAGAGGAGGAATGTCTTTCATATTCATATTTGTTTTGATTTTAGGATTTTTAAGGCCCCATACTGCCCTTTACTCTTGTTTGCAAAAACACTATTGATTTTGATAAAAGCAGAACCAGGCCTAGCTAAAATCTATAACATTAATAAATCTATTGCAGTCCAAAGTGCAATGATAGACAGAGCACAGGACAGATCAGGACTTGCAAGACCAATATCCAGATCTGAATTTCTCATCTCTGTTTCTTAATTTTTGGGATGTGCCACTTCATGAGCCACCTGACTACATACTGGAATCCCCACACAAGCATTCGTAACAAAATTTAATACCAGGGCACTGTTTGACTCCTGGGAGGGAGCTGGTAAAACACCTCTCTGGCAAACACTCTCAGACTAAAGTGAAGTTCCCTGGTTACAAATGCGGTTTTCCAAATGGACAATTAAAAAATCTTAAAAATCTCTGGACCCAAGTCCCCAGCTCCTACAGCCTAGAGCACAGGTATTCAAGTCAGCAAACTGAGTCAGTACGAGTCTACATCAGCTGAGGATATTAAAAAATAAACAAACATATTTTTTCATTTAAGATAAGAAAATGTGAAAAATGCTCTTTGGGCATTTCCTTTTCTAGAGTCACCTTAACAATTTGATAGAAAAATACAGATAGGGGATCAGACTAGCAGCCGGGTTTTCCCTATCTGTTTCATGGGTCTGCCACAGTGTAGGCTTCTCCCACTGTCACCTGCATGCCTCACTCTTTACCTGCAGGTACAAATTCTAGGTGGAAGGCAGAAGTTCATGCCCCTTATTCGTGCTGATAAGATACATTTTTGCAAGTCAGCCTATTTAAAATCAAAAGGATGACTTGCCAGCGCCCACTCACATGAGTAAGAGGCTCACAGGGAAGCCCTCTGTCACCCATTTGATCTTCAGTTCCTTTGCTTATTACACAAAGCATTAATGAATAATGAATGAGAGGGTGAACTTTTTGACACAGGGACCTGTCAGCTGAGATCAAGAAGGAGACCTCTTTCTTACATGAACAGCCATCAGCAACACCAGCTTTCAGTCACTTCTGACTTGGGTACATGGCTTGGTTGCAAAATTTTATATCCTCCTGCCAACTCCTCAGTTAGCAGGGTAACTTTCTATATTATCTTTCAATAAAATAATTCATAATAGTCTTGGAATTGGCTAATAGGGATGCTGCTTTTGGATTTTATAGCTGTCCTAAGAATCTGACCTGTGTTTTCACCAACCCTGGATCTGAGCTAAGTGTGCAAAAAAATGTTTAACCAAAGCTCCAGTGCAACAGGTTAGGCTCTGTATTGGTTGTAATGGATAATTTAGCAGATTTAAAGAGGTTCCCCAGGAGAGGCTTGTTCTTCAAGATGGACAGCTTAAGACAGTAGACAGAAAATTTTCCCTCCTACAGGGATGCAGAATAAGCTGTCTCAAATGACAACAGATCACACTCTTGAAGCCATTGCAGAAAAGTTTGGGCTCTGTTGAGATGAAAGTCTGGATCTTCATGTCTGGCACAGATGGAACGTCTTTCAGTCACCTTGTGGTGGGTGTCAGATATACAGACTGCATTCAGGCAGCCTCCTGCCTGCTGACAGCTACTAGGAGAGTGCTGGGGAGAGTGAGTGAGAATCCTAACAAGCATCATAAACAGCATTAGCACCTTTTTATACCATCTCTAAGTAGCAGCATTTTCATTATTGTGGGTTTTATAAGTGTATATTAAAACTGTAAAAATGTAATTGTTGTCTGGTTCAGTTTTGGAGCAGAGACGATTTGAGCCTTTTAGTGTTCGTTGTTTAGTTAAAATGACTCACTTCACCAAACTTCATTATTATGCTTTTGTTTTATGGTGTGCAGCAGGCAGTCCACAGATATGCCTTTGGTATTTCCAACTGTACCTTAATCCTCTGTGTAATCTGAAGTCTGCACTGTTTGCTGATGGAGTTGTTATTAAATATCCCCATAAATCCCCCTTAATTGTGACATCTGTACATGATGGACATTTGAAATAGGTATCAAAAGAGCAGTTATTCTGGAATCTGGCAGAAGGCTTGGATTGGAAGGACTCAGAAAAATGCTGATGGAGGAAAGAATATGCCATTCTGACTAATCAAATTAACTGTCATATTTAGGTTCCCTGCAGCTTTGCCACTTGAGACATGAAGCAATGACAGAGGGATGGCCACAACTCAGCTGGTGGGAAAGCTCCATTACTGTCCTGGTATTTGATACCTGGGGCACACTTTTTTTTCCAGATTATAACTGGCAGCTCACTTCATTCATAGTCCTCCGGCCAGGTCTGGTCTGTGGACTCAATCCTGTGTGCTGGGCCACCACAGCTCAGGCCCCTCATGCGTGCAGGGCAGGCAGAGGCAGAGCCTCATGCAGCTGTACAGGGATGGCCTGGCCAGGGCCTAATCACACTCACTGTCGCTCTTGTAGTGCACTAGTGTGCCGCAGCCCGCTCTTTGGGAATCCCAGCAGTATTGTGAGTGTGCTAAGGATCCTTGAAGCACAGTGTTGCCCAGCGCAGGCCCGTATTTTCTACTACCATTTTAATTATTCTTTTAGTTATGCACATGTAGAGCATTTGGATTATTTTACCATGTAACTGCTGCTGTGTTCTTTGCCATTTGTTTCCTGTGATCTTGCCTACACAGACCAAACTGACTGATCAGCCCTTTTTCTACCCTTATGTGATGCTCTCTCTTTCACTCCTCCTATTTATCTTTCTCTTTGCACCACTTCTTTTCTCTTCTCATTCCCTCTCTCTGTTGCCTCTTGCTTTATACTTACATTGTGTTTTTGGTATCCTGGAAATGTTACCACTTTGAAGCCAAATCCCAGCTGATTCATGTATTGTTTCCATTATATTGTGTTTCCCCTACACAAAGCAAATGAAATAGACTTGCAGAAATATGTAAGCCTAAGAAAGTTTGTTTCTAATCAAAGCTAAGAGGAAGCCTATATTTAAAACCAGGAAACTTTCTGGATTAACCCATTTATTGTTAGCAGATGTCTGATATGAAATAAGCATTCAGTGCTGAGATTTTGGTCCTTCCCCTGAGACTAAGCCTAGGTACACTTGACCAACCTTACCCATGTTTAGTGGAAATGATTCCTATGTATGAACAGATGTATACCTGCATAAATACATATGTGCTGTTATAGACAAAAGTTCACTCTCAGGGTTTATCTGCACTGCAGTTAACACAGGCCTTACCTAGGCATAGTCTTAAGGCCCCTAGCACCAGACAGAAAAATAGCTGACTTGGGTTTGACGGGTTTGACCCAGGGCTAACGTCCCCAGCTCAAGAGTGGCATTAACCCAGGCTTCAACTCCCACTTTGCACTAGAATGTAGGGTAAATCATTCCTCATTTGCCCTCCCATAGTTCCTCCAGAGCAGACACCATTTTCTTGTAGTTGATACAACTGAATGGGAAAGAATCCAAGAGTGCTCTGCTGCAAAGGAGGAGGGGATCTGCTCCTAGACACAGGTGCAGGATCATTGAGGATTCAGTAATCTGGTTTGGACCCACCCAGCTACTCAGTCCTAATGTGCCAATCACCTGGGTTAACTGTACAGCGCCAGAGAAGTGTAGCCCCAAGCAAGGCCCTGTGAAAGGGAGCTTGCAAAACACAGATCTGACCCCAAGTCAGGATGCCATCAGGCTTCTGCTTTCTTCATGAATTTGCCTGGGATGACTCTGTGAACTACACTTATTTTGCTAAAAAAGAGAAACTCCCTATGTGAGTCTTTATTGTAGGCTACTAGTACCTACCACATCTTAGTTCTTTGGGGCTTAAAAATAATACTTGCTGGTGATTCAGAAAGTTAATTAGGTAATTCCCTTAAGAGTCCTGTTTTTGTATGTAGGTTCCACTTCTCCATGTAGTACCTTTTCTTTTCTGTCTCTTCAATTACAAGGTCTTTATTTATGCATCATCCCTCTGGTATTTTTACCCAGCTAAAGACAAGTCAGAAAGCAGTTCTTTAGCTCCATCATTTCAGAATCAGCAGAGACATTGTCCCCCTCCACATTCATTATCTTCCCTCTTTGGCTGATGTTTATAAAAACTTTCTCACTCACTTTTGTCTTGTTTTACTACTGCCTTTGGCTTTTCCCTGCCAGCTTTACTTGACTGCATATTTTTGCTTAGGCCCACTCCCAATGCAGGCCTTTTTAGCAAGTCCTTTGTGATACCACAGTGGTCATAACTTATTTCTGGTTCTTGTCTTTTGTAGAGAAATTGCATTCAGCTGTATATCCATTTCAGTGGCTTTTAGGGTTTTCTATCCTTTGTTCCCAATTGTGGCTTCTTCTATATTGTTCTATTCCACCAGACTCCCATTATTTTCAGTGGGATCTGGGCAATCCCAGCACTGCTTTCTTATATTGCTGTGTTCCATCCATCCCTTTACACTGGAAATTGCCATTTTACCCCCTTTAACTTTTTCTTCTCTTTTTTTAGGCTGCAATCAGGAAAAGCAAGTAAACAGCTTCCTTTGAGGCCACCACTAAAACTTCATTGCACATAGATCCACTCTTTCCCAACGAACCTTTGTATGAGGTGCCTAAACACCTTTGTTCTTGGGAAAGAAAAATTGGGTTGCTCTTGAACTCAGATTTCCCATGCTGCCTCACGAAAGACATTTCAATGACTTCTTTATTTCTTTTACTGCCATCAAAGGCCGATCCTTTAAGCTTCTTCTCCCCACTCTATTTTTTTGTTCTGCCAAGTCAAACTGCACTTGATAGTAACCATGCTCATCTGTTTCAGATGGAGATTATTTTACGTTTACAAGACATGAACCCATCGGAGTGTGTGGACAGATCATCCCTGTGAGTATCTCTACTAGCGCCTCATATTTATTTTCATTTGAACCAGCTCTCTTTAAAGACACATAAAACGTGGACCTCAGCTATGTGTGTTTTCCATTACGAAAAAAGCTGAGCTCATATTGTTGACATATCTTTAACAGCCTCCCTGCAAATGCTTATTTGAACATGCTAATAGGGTTTTAGCTCTGTTATTAGGAGTTAAGTTCTCAAGTCATAGAATTCTCATGATTAAAACAAGCAAAGCAAAACACAGTGTTAATATGCTGTCAGTGGTTATGGATGTTCACACAACTTACGGAAAATTGATGCTTTGCTGTGGCACTCTTTTTATTTATTTAGTTTTTACTGTGATTTAACAGTCTCCTCCGAGATCCTGGGAGAATGTTATGTATTTTAATTCTATTTTTTCCTGGCATTTCTTTTTACAAGGCTAGGGAAGAAGAAACTCCAGAAGATATGTCATTACAATTAATATCATGAAAATAATTAAAAACATGAAAGGCTTGTTTTTCTTGTTACAAGAGACAAACTTAATATTTTACTAAATGTAATACTTTTTCACATTCTAATATCCACCTTCAACAGACCCTTGCTGAATGCTGCACGTGAACACTGCTGAATAAGTTAGGTTTTCAAAAGTGCTGGTTAATTGGTTTGGGCAGAAATTTCAGCGGGAGGCTCATGTATAGCTATTAAAATATGGTGTGGAAGCTTTTCCTTTACAAAGCATCAGGGAAGGAATCAAGATGTTCTCTGAATTTTGTTGTTGTTGTTGTTTTTTTGTCTTGTTCATGTTAACCACAAGCCACTAAATAGCCTGGATGCATTTGCAACAGAGAGATTCCAGTAAAAAAGAAGCAACCAGAAAAGATTGCCTTAACAATGGAAAGCCATTTTTTCCTATTACTATTTATTATTATTTCATTTCTTTGAGGAGAGGTGACTGTTGTGCTTGGCACTCTACAGAAACTAGGACAACCATGGGAAGGAGCTCACAGTCAAAGGCACCCCTCCTGCAGACATCCCTGCGCATTCTTAACTTAATTCACATGAGTAGCTCTGTTGAATGAGTAGCTTCAATGGCAGTGTGTGCATGTGTTACACATTTGCAGACATGCTTGCAGGATCAGAGCTTTTGCGCCCGTTCCCAATGTGACCAGGCATTTTCTGAGACCTGTTCAACACCCTCGACTAACAGTTCCACTGATGCCACTAGGAGCTGAGGGCATTCAGCACTTGGCAGGAGGTATTCAAGAGCATGCATTTGTTTGGTTTAGATTTGCTACTCTATGAAGGAGGCCCTTATCCAAGGCAACCCTGCCATATATTACAAAATAAAATGACAGAGAGCTAACACAGAGCAAAGCTCCCTTTCCGGCTCCACATCTGATGCCTGTGAAAATTTACCCTCATCAACAGCATTGCAGCATTCCCTATGGCCATTTTGGGCCAGGTGATGGGACTCCTTCCTCTCTCTTTCAATTAGAGGGAGTTCCAGCTTAAGTGCCTCAGGCATTGCAACAAGAAAGAAAAAGTCAGGCAGGCAGGTAGGTAGGTAGATCCCAGGCCAGGATCTGGCCCTAAAATAGACACGGCAGCACAGTCCAAACCAATCCAGCTAAGTAAACTGTATGTAAATAGGTTAGAGTTGTGTATTTGTTTTCAGTGACATACAGAGGAACCTTCCAGGGGAAAGATAAGGGAAGAACTTGTTGCGTTCCTAACAATGGACGCCTATTTTTACACTGCCACATTTTGCACAATAAACTCTTCAGAGCTCTGGCTGCAACAGGCAACACAAGTGTAGGCTGTCAGCATGCTGTCGGCCCAATAGTTTTACTCCTAGGTTTATATGCTGGGTATGGAATTAAAACATCACTCTGTCTCCAAAGTTTATAAACAACTAAGGGGGAAAGAAATAGGGTGTTCAGTGAAGGAAAGACATTTGTGTATTTTTTCAAGCTTGCCAGGGGCTAGAGAGAGGTCTATGAGAGTGGCAGCTGATATGCTTCAGGCAGTAACACCTTCTAGCTAGTGGTTGATTCCTTGTGACTGATACTTTTCTATTTTCTTTCCAAGTTAGATTATTAGTTACATCCCTGAGACCATTCCTATAAATGGAGATGTGAGTAACTTTACTCACCTCCACATTTCAGCTGAAAGCAGTGGGATTGCTCTAGTAAGTCTGAATGTTTGCAGGATACCAGACATCTAGGATGACAGCTGCTATAGAGAACCTTAACTATTTGGCCCATCAGAACAAGTATACTGGGCCAAATCTTCTGCTACAGTAAACTGAAGCTGAAGACAGTGGAGTTGCACAAATTAACACCAGGAGATAATTTTGTCCAATTTGTTGTCTGTATTTCATATCAATTGCACAAGAACAAGTTTTAATACAAATGCCATAGGGAGCAATAAAACTGTACTGACACAGCAGAAGAATTGGGGGGGGGCATTGTCAAATGCCATCAAAGGTTAAGTATTTCTTCAAGTGCTCAAGGATTAGAGTCCTACGTTAAAAAATCTTTAGTGTTGGCAAGCAAATAGTTTTTTTCTCAGGACAACAGAAGCAGGAAGTATTTGTCCTCAAGAGTTAAAAAATAGAAGACATGCCAATGACAAAATATTAAATGAAATTAAAAGCTGTGAATAGAAAAATAACAGATAACACAAAATCCTTTTGTGAAGATTGGGGGCAAGGGTTATAATTCTTTGAACAGAAGAGAAAGAAGAATTCAAAGGGCAGTGTCACCTCGTTCTTAATGGGGGTAATTAAAAAATCCTTGCTTTGTCCTGGGCAAGATTTATGTTGAGGATAAGCCTGAGAAATCAGTGAGGTAGCAGCTTGACATCTCACAAACAAAGCACCACTGCAATATTTTCCATCTATCTTTTATTTTTTCCTGCAGTGGAACTTCCCCCTGCTGATGTTTGCGTGGAAGATTGCTCCAGCTCTGTGTTGTGGCAATACAGTAGTTATTAAACCAGCAGAGCAAACACCACTCAGTGCTCTCTATATGGGAGCCCTCATCAAGGAGGTAAGAATAATTGACAGGAATAATGTCTCCATCTCTCTTTACAGTTGAAGAACTACCAGAGTGTATCTGGTATAATTCGCTTCGTCAAGTTTTCACAAGCTATGTTTCCTCTCATTCTGTTTTGATAGGCTGGCTTTCCACCAGGAGTAGTCAATATTTTGCCAGGATTTGGTCCAATTGTTGGTGCAGCAATAGCTTCTCATGTTGGCATAGATAAAATTGCTTTTACTGGATCTACTGAGGTAAGTGTATTCTAAAATATGTTACTGAAAGATATGAATCAAGAAAATATTTAGGGAACTACAGCCAAGCTCTTGACCTAACTTCCTCAGTGTCATCTAGTAGAAAGGATATATCCACATCAGAATGGCCCATGCTTCCAGCTAAGCCTATATACTACCAACACGGAACTATTACTTTCCCTTCATTCC